CTGAGATAACGATTCGTGCTGATTTGTTACGAATGCATTTACTCAATTTAACAGTTGCAGTGCATTTTGCACACTTTCCAATGGCTGAATTCAAAGCATGTACTGTTCCTCCCTGGCAACTGGTACAACTGAGATAATCACTAATCGACTGTACAGCAATAATTTCCCCAGTTATAACATCAATGACAGGTTGCGTAAGAACAAGTTGTGATGATGATGGTTGGTCTTCTTTTTTATCAGATATATCTGCAATATTAGGTAGTTCTTTAAGCTGTGAATCATTGGCTACATGTGATAAATTACACATTTCATTGTATTCCTTAACTTTAACATTATCCAATTTAAAGCTTGTACCTTTGGTCAGCTTCCCAACATTCTCCCATAAAACAATTCTGCATGTTGATTTTGTGTCTTTCAAGAGACTATCTTGTTTTGTCAACTTTTTCCCCTTTTTGGTATTAATCTCAACAGGTGGATCCACATGCACAATCTTTGCAATGATTGATATGGTCTCATTAATAGCGATAGCTGTCAAATCTTCAGTAGTTACTATTTTGTCTTCTTGAGCATCAGCTTTAAATTTTTTGGGTGATTGCTCAATTGTTGAATACTTTGTAGCTTTAATTTCTAGCTGTTTATTGTACACATTTTCTTGAATTTGGCAGCTAGTAATGGCAATTGTAGTGTTTTCTTTCTTGCTTTATGATGATCTTCACGATGTTCAAATGAAACAAACCTTGCTGTTTTTACTCCACTTATCTTGCCATTAAAATATTTACAATTGCCTCTAGTTTCACTTGGCTTAACTGGCGACAGCTGTATAATGTTCCCGTGAACAGTAACATGTTGTCCTTTACAAATGTCATGTACATCATATGACGGCAGAGTACGTTTCATTGGCATTGAAGGAGCTCTCATGAGACTCCATGCTAGCAGTAGTCCAAACTGAGTTTAAGGACTGAAATGTATCCTGACGCAGTACAGAGTGGTTTGGTTGGAATTAAGTAAAGTAGAGCCACAGCTAGCACTGAATCACAAATCCAACTTCAGAGACATACAAAAAGTGAGAATGTAGGTGCCCCTCAGAATAAAGAAAGAGACAAGTGGCAGACAGCTAAAACCATCAAACCAATGAGAAGCATTAAGTGTTAGATCTATCTCTTGCGCATGCTCTGTGAAGTTAACTTGCTTGTTATTGAAGTTAGTTGTGAACTATAAATAGATTTAGGCTGTAGAAGGGTGGCTTTATAGAATTCTATTTTTAGTGCTGGTCTAGTACTGCATCAGTAATGGGACTTTGTTGGAATGAATATATTGCAGACTCAGAAGTAGCAGTGGGAAATATGAAACAGCCTGAGCCTGATCATAGTGACAAAATTAAGTGCTTGATTGAGAAAAAAGACAGGGAAATTAGAAAGTTCAAGGAGAAAACAAAGGAAAAAGACAAAGAAGTTAAGAATTAAAAAAAAAAGAGTCAAGATGAAGAAGAAAGGAAGAAAGAGATGAGTTCAAAAAATGATGAAATTTTGAGATGGATGAGAAGGTATGAAGAGTGTCAGATGCACTGTAATTACTTGGAAGGGGAGAGACAGAGAATGAAAAGAAGGTTACATACTCTAGAGGCCATTGAAAGGAAGAGAACTAAAAAAAGGAAGAGCAGAAAATTAAGGAAGAAGCAATGAAGCATACAGTCCGTATAAACGTAGAAGAAAGGAGAAGATTCAGGTTAATTACACCACTGTTAGATTCATGAATTCAATGTATGATACTTGAAATAATTTTGATCACTTAATTTCAATGAAAATACATAAAAATGTTAATAAAAGAATTCAAAAATTTTATAATAACACACATATAGTTATTATAGCTTTACAGTGATCTTGCGTTCTCTAAGATTAAGAAAACGATGGCCAGCACTATCGCAAAAAGTGCCACTGCTTCGCTGGCCACCTACACCTACCACCCTCCTAAAGAAAATAAAACACAATAATGTATGTAAATGAAAGTGATAAAAATTACCTTTTAAAAAGGCAATAAAATGTATTGCTGGTACTATAGAGGTATATGCAGTCCAGGATTCTTCACTCAACAATGATCTTCTGCTAAACTGGACCACCACCACCCACAGCATGTATGGCCACCAGCTTTGACAACTAACCACTGAACAGCATCCATCCATTTTATAATTTATGAGGTGATCTATATCCATCCAATGATTTGTGAGGTGATCTCTTCCATTGCTCGAATTCTGAGATATCCATTACTGAACAATGATCAGCTGCTAAACTGGACAGCCACCACCCACAACGTGTATGACTACCAGCTTTGGCAACTAACCACTGAATAGCATTCATCTATCCACTTGTGATGTGAGTCCCCACTCCAATTGTGAGATATCCTTCAGTGAACAATGATCAGCTGCTAAACTGGTTAGCCACAACTCACAGCGTGTATGGCTACCTGCTTTGACAACTCACCATTGAACAGCACCCATCCATCCAATTGTGAGACTCCTTAATCCACATGGCACTTACAATATACCTCTATAAGTACCAGCACATAATGTCTTCTCTTGTCTCAATCAATTGAATTTAAGTAATAAATACATTGGAAATTATGAGCTGTGAGAGATTGTCTATTGGATATGAAGTATGGTGTATATTCAGTGCTACAGCAACAAAAAAGAGGAAAAGTAAAAAGGAGAGAAGAGAGGACAGACAAACTCATTACATATACATAATATAGTTCAGAAAAAGAGTAGAGAAAGTAGAGTAATGAAGGTGAAAAAGGGTTGTATATTTACATCATACACTAAATAAGATTAAAAAGTCCTGAAGATTAAATATTAAGTGAATAAGTGATGGCATGCATAACTTATCATTTGTATGACAAATGGTGATATATTCCTATATCCTTGCGTATTCCTGTGGTTTCTCCACTTCCTCCTATATTGTGAGAATATGCAGTGAGATGGTGCTGCATGAATTATGTCTCCATGTGATAGTGATGGTGTCATCCACTCCATATATGATTGATCCTCCTCATTAACAGCCAGTGGAGATGGTGGCATAGCTTCTAAATGTACATCCATTTAGTCTTCATCCTCATCATCTTCAAGAGGTGGTCCTTCTTGAAGAAAAAGTAGTCGTTGATCCTCCTCCTTCCTCTCATGAAGACGACGATGACTCCTAGCAATGCTCGTTAGTTGTTCGAGAGGGAATGGTAGTACAAATAAGATATCACTGTGCTTTCTAACTCTTGAGCAGGCAACAAATGACAATCCACAAGAGAACTTGTTCCCTACATCAATGACCACTTTGTCCAGAGTGAGTCCTTGAGATTTGTGGATAGTCACTGCATACCGACGCTAGCTTGAGTGGTAGTTGAAGGCGTGAACAAAGACCACCTGAAGACCAATTTTGTCTTATTCGAGTGATTGTTACCGTTCCATTGTACATAGTTGGTCCTGAATAATGATCAAATTGTACCATCACAGCCAATGGTAGAGCAGGAGTTCTGTCCCTCAGATAGCAGATAGCTTGAACTGTTCCCATTGCTCCAATGACTAATCCCATTTTAACCTATAAGTTGCTTGTCAGCATGACTCTTGCTGACTTGGAGAGCTTCACAAGTGGATCCAAACCATCAACATCATCAGGACACTTGCATTGGCTCCAGTGTGTACTGCCTTAATCTCAGCAATAGGATAGCCACATTCCAATAATCTATTAGTATTGTAGTCAGCAAAATCTTCAACCGTTGGGAATTGTCTAAGAGCACTAACAAAAAAAGAGTGATCTGTTATTATGGTTGGTATCTGTTCCATAAGATGTTCCCAATCTTTTCTGTTGCTTCAGCATTTCTAAGGCAAAAAATTTCATGGAATCTGACTTGTTCAGGATCCTGCTAGACTGTCTCATGACTTGAATCAGGGTGAAAGCTATAGTGAATTGATTATAAGCTCTGCAGCCCTGGTCTGCAAGATCTGAACTTGACTGTGTGGTGTAGAGTGGAAGTCCAAACACTGGCGGTAGTTGGCCAAAATCTCCAAAGAGTAAGACAGAGCACCCACCAAGCAGTTCCTGTGACTTGTGAGGTAAGGCTTGTCTTAGCCTCCTGTCAATCATCCCAAATGTCTTCCTAGAAATCATTGACATCTCATCAATGATGAGGTACTTGATACTTAACAGCACTTCCTGGAT